TTATATCACATAGATTATTATATAGAAGAACATTAACTTAAATACAAGGTTGTTATGCCATATGGAAAGACAGAACCGGAATAGCAGGTGATAATGCAGAAATTAATGTTGGTAACGAAGAGAAAAAAATGGGAAATTGAGAACATTCAACTATTTTTGGAAGATTGATGAGAAAGATAAGAACAGTAATTGGGTTTTCTTTTGGCTGTTGAGAAAACTGAATCAGATACAGAAGAGACTCAGATAAAACGAACGACACATGGATAAGTAAATTTAGAAATAAGGAAAGTTATACATGAGAAGCAAATTGAAATTAAGCGTGGAGAGAGAGAGAGAGAGAGAGAGAGAGAGAGAGAGAGAGAGAGAGAGAGAGAGAGAGAGAGAGAGAGACAGACAGACAGAGAGACAGAGAGACAGACGGACAGACAGACAAACAGAGAAAAGTTTAAGATAAATGAAGAATTACATAATTTGTTTAAGGAATCATTGACGGTAAAGAGGAAAAGTTAAGATAACTGGAGAGTTTATCTTTAAATAAACTGAACAGTGCTGGATGAGGTACATATAACCAAGGAGGAGGTGAAGAAGCTGCTATGCGAACTTGACACCTCAAAGGCGGTGGGACCAGACAACATCTCTCCATGGGTCCTTAAAGAGGGAGCAGAGATATTGTGTGAGCCATTAACAAAGATCTTCAACACATCATTTGAAACTGGGCAACTCCCTGAGGTATGGAAAATGGCAAATGTAGTCCCAATTTTTAAAAAGGGGGACAGACATGAGGCACTAAACTACAGACCTGTATCACTTAACGTGTATAGTATGCAAGGTCATGGAGAAGATCATCAGGAGGAGAGTGTGGGGCACCTGGAAAGAAACAAGTGTATAATTGACAACCAGCACGGTTTCAGGGAAGGAAAATCCTGTGTCACAAACCTACTAGAGTTTTATGACAAGGTGATAGAAGTAAGACAAAGAGAAGGGGTGGATCGACTGCATATTTTTGGACTGCAAGAAGGCCTTCGACACAGTTCTCACAAGAGTTACTGCAAAAGCTAGAGGATCAGCACACATAACAGGAAAGGCACTGCAATGGATCAGAGAATACCTGACAGGGAGGCAACAACGAGTCATGGTACGCGACGAGGTGTCAGAGTGGGCGCCTGTGACAAGCGGGGTTCCACAGGGGTCAGTCCTAGGACCTGTGCTGTTCTTGTATATGTGAACGACATAACGGAAGGGATAGACTCAGAAGTGTCCTTGTTTGCAGATGATGCGAAGTTAATGAGAAGAATCAAATCGGATGAGGATCAGGCAGGACTACAAAGAGACCTGGACAGGCTACAAGCCTGGTCCAGCAACTGGCTCCTTGAATTTAACCCTGCCAAATGCAAAGTCATGAAGATTGGGAAGGGCAAAGAAGACCGCAGACACAATATAGTTTAGTTGGCCAAAGACTGCAAACCTCACTCAAGGGAAAAGATCTGGGGGTGAGTATAACATCGAGCATATCTCCTGAGGCGTACATCAATCAGATAACTGCTGCAGCATACGGGTGCCTGGCAAACCTACGGATAGCGTTCCGATACCTCAGTAAGGATTCGTTTAAGACTCTGTATACCATTTACGTCAGGCCCATACTGGAGTATGCAGCACCAGTTTGGAACCCACACCTAGTCAAGCACGTCAAGAAATTAGAGAAAGTGCAAAGGTTTGCAACAAGACTAGTCCCAGAGCTACGGGGATTGTCCTACGAAGAAAGGTTGAGGGAAATCGGCCTGACGACACTGGAGGACAGGAGGGTCAGGGGAGACATGATAACAACATATAAAATACTGCGCGGAATAGACGAGGTGGACAAAGACGGGATGTTCCAGAGAAGGGACACAGACACAAGAGGTCACAATTGGAAGTTGAAGACTCAGATGAATCAAAGGGATGTTAGGAAGTATTTCTTCAGTCATAGAGTAGTCAGGCCGTGGAATAGCCTAGAAAGTGACGTAGTGGAGACGGGAACCATACATAGTTTTAAGGCGAGGTATGATAAAGCTCATGGGGCAGGGAGAGAGAGGACCTAGTAGCAATCAGCGAAGAGGTGGGGCAAACCTACGGACAGCGTTCCGATACCTCAGTAAGGATTCGTTCAAGACTCTGTACACCATCTACGTCAGGCCCATACTGGAGTATGCAGCACCAGTTTGGAATCCACACCTAGTCAAGCACGTCAAGAAATTAGAGAAAGTGCAAAGGTTTGCAACAAGACTAGTCCCAGAGCTACAGGGATTTTCCTACGAAGAAAGGTTGAGGGAAATCGGCCTGACGACACTGGAGGCCAGGAGGGTCAGGGGAGACATGATAACGACATATAAAATACTGTGCGGAATAGACAAGGTGGACAAAGACGGGATGTTCCAGAGATGGGACACAGACACAAGAGGTCACAATTGGAAGTTGAAGACTCAGATGAATCAAAGGGATGTTAGGAAGTATTTATTCAGTCATAGAGTAGTCAAGCCGTGGAATAGCCTAGAAAGTGAAGTAGTGGAGGCGGGAACCATACATAGTTTTAAGGCGAGGTATGATAGAGCTCATGGAGCAGGGAGAGAGAGGACCTAGTAGCAATCAGTGAAGAGGCGGGGCCAGGAGCTATGACTCCACCCCTGCAACCACAAATAGTGAGTCAAATAGTGTACACCACACACACACACACCACACGACACACCACACACACACACACACACACACACACACACACACACAGTCAACACACACACACACACACACACACACACACACTCCGGGATCTCCATAACAGAGAGTCACGATACACTTTTTTCCCTATAGAGTGAAAGAGAATCGTAACCCTTTATAAGCAGTCATGCAAAACACTGAACCTTCCTTGGTACAACGTTGTGGTCACCATAATCCTCCTCCTCCTCCTCCTCCTCCTCCTCCTCCTCCTCCTCCTCCTCCTCTTCTTCTTCTTCTTCTTTTTCATCTTTTCTTCTTTTTCTTTTATTTCGTCTTCTTGTTCTTCTTCTTGTCAATAGAAAGCCTAAATCCATAGGGATAATGGAAGGTAACCAGATTTCTCCCATTGATGGGGAGGTAAACTCCAGTTCCCTGGATGAAAAGCACTTCACTTGAATCATGGCAACCTCGCTCCCCCTCCCCATATCCTTTTCTTAAAGGCATACACACATTGTCTTCCAAAGTGACGGGAAACATGGGAAACAGTGCCAGATGCATTTCAGTCTTTGGCTTTGTTTACATGATCAACACAGTTAAATGACTTTCCCGCTGACTTAGACACAACGGCGCTGTGGTGTACAACCACCATAACTACTTTGCTACCACCACCACCACCACTACTACCACTACCACCACCACTACCACTACTACCACCACTACCACCACCACTACCACCACCACTAACCACCACCACTACCACCACCGCCACAGCCACCACTACCACCATCACCACCACTACCACCACCACTACCACTGCTATCACCACCACCACATACCACTACCACCACGACCACCACCGCCACTACCACCACCACTACCACTACTACCACCACTACCACCACTACCACCACCACCACCACCACTACCACCACCACCACTACCACCAACACCACCACTACTTCCACTACCATCACCACTACCACTACTACCACCACCACCACTACCACTACCACCACGACCACCATCACCACCACTACCACTACCACTACTACAGCCACCACCACCACTCAGCACTCACCATTCTGATCGTCCAAAATCCCGGGGAGAATTACTGAAAGTAATCAGATCCTCTACATTGTCACCACACAACTGAGAGTCACAAGTAAAGCATTACCCAGTCCTAAACCCACTTACATCAGGGATTTGAATCCTAAACCTACTTACATCAGTGTTTTAAATTCCCCTCAGTAAGATGACTTAGGATTTCTGAATGAGAATATAGGGACTAAGTTACGGGAAGAGGGTTCTGTAAGGGATCAAGACTTACTTATGGAATTAGGACTCACATATGAGATCAGGACTCACTTAAACGGGATCAAAACTCACTTAAACAGGATCAGGACTCATTAAAGGGATCTCTTGCAATGCCTTTTCTTGAAGTTTAGTCTTCATTGAAGAAAATATGAGGAAAGAGGTGAGAGGAGGATAAATAAGAAGTGAAGGGACAAGGGAAGGTGAAAATAATATTACGTGGATGAGGATTAAGGAAAAAAGAAAATGGAAGAAGAGGAGGAGGAACAAGAGAAGAGGAGAAAGAGGAGGGGAAATGGGAGAGGATAAGGAGGGAAGAGGAAGGGAAAGAGAGGGAGAGAAAGGAGGAAAGAGGTAGGGGGTAAGAGGAGAGGAGGAGGACGACGAGGAGGAGGAGGAGGAGAAGGAGGAGGAGAAGGAGGAGGAGGAGGAGGAGGAGGAGGAGGAGGGAGGAGGAGGAGAGGAGGAGGAGGAGGAGGAGGAAGAAGGTGGAGAAGGATGAGGAGGAGGAGTGCCATTGACACTATCAAGTGCCTCTAAGGTGGTGGAGCGCCACGGACAAGGTCACCTTCAGAACGCAGTAGGAGGCGTCCTTGACAGCGTGCGTGTAGCGTGGGGCCAGATTCACTACCATGTACGTAGCTCCACGGCATTATGCTGGCAGATATTCCAGTGTAATGATCGACGGGTTGACTGAACTATGGTACCCAAGACCTTGGCTCTCTCTCTCTCTCTCTCTCTCCTCTCTCGCTAATATATAATATATATATATATATATATATATATATATATATATATATATATATATATATATATATATATATATGGAAGTTCGTTCACATAGTGAGTGCCATTCTGAATTATTATTATTATCATTATTATTATTATTTTTATTATTATTATTATTATTATTTATTATTAAATTTTTATTACTATTATTATTATTATAAGTAAGTGATGACGTTGGTAAACCCTCATGGGTCAATCAGCACATGGAATCATGGAGACTCTATCATGAGTGGGTAGTCCTCGCCAAGTGAGCCTCGGGGCTTATGACACCGTCTCCAAATGACATCACAAAATCGCTGATGGCACAAAAATCGGCCTAAGAATGAATTCAGTGGAAGATTCTCTGAGCACGTTAATAAATGTTGTAGCCTCAGGAAGGAACGGACGGAGGACCGACCGGAGGAACGGTCGGAGGAACGGTCGGAGGAAGAACGGTCGGAGGAACGGTCGGAGGAACGGTCGGAGGAACGAAGGAAGAGGTGTGGTTGGATGGATCGTGTCAAGGTGAAGCGCAGCGCGAGAAACTGCGGAAAACGTGTCATTTGTTCCCCCTTTTTGACGACGCTGCGATTCTCGTGTGCTTGTGTAGCTAACTCACCGTGTATGTGTGTGTGTGTGTGTGTATGCGTGTGTGTGAATAGCAGTGTTATTCACACTCTTTTGACGCTGTGATTCACACATTATCAATGTCATTCCCGCCCGCTAGTCAATGTTACTGCCATACGCTTGTCAGTTTGACTGATGGGCAACTGTCAACGGGATAAGATTGGCTTCTGGCTGTGATTCACCTCATTAACTTTAACTTATTACATGTCTGAACTTGTTACAACACAGCTGTGTTGCTGTACCACTATGTTCTACCAATGTACCACTGTATTGTACCATTCTACCAGTATATTCCACCAATCTACCACTATATTCTACCATTCTACCACTATATTCTACCAATCTACCACTATATTCCACCAATCTACCACTGTATCCACCAATCTACCACTATATTCTACCAATATACCTCTATAATCCACTAATCTACCACTATATTCTACCACTCCACCACTATATTCCACCACTCTACCACTATATTCCACCACTCCACCACTATATTCTACCACTCTACCACTATATTCCACCACTCCACCACTATATTCCACCACTCTACCACTATATTCCACCACTCTACTACTAACCACTAATCTACCCTCTACTACCACTATATTTCCATCACGTCAACCACAATACCCACCACTCTAACCACTATATTTCCACCACTTCTAACCACTATATTCCACCACTCTACTACTATATTCCACCACTCTAACTAACCACTATATTCCCACCACTGCTACCACAATATCAAACCACTCCCAGCACTATATTCCACCACTCCACCACTATATCCACCACTCTAGCCACTAAATCCACCACCTCTAACCACTATATTCCACCACTCCCACCACTATATTCCACCACTCTACCCACTATATCTACCACTCTACCACATATTCCACACTCTACCACTATTTCCACCACCTCTACCACTATATTCCACCACTCCAACACTATATTCCACCAATCCACCACTATATTATTACCACCACCTCTTACCACTATAATCCTCCACTCTGCCACTATATTCCACCACTCCACCACTAATCCACCACTCCAACCACTATATTCCACCCACTCCAACCACTATATTCCACCACTCCACTCTATATTCTACCAATCTACCTCTATAATCCACTAATCTACCACTATATCCACAACCCACCACCATATTCCACCACCTAACCACTAAAATCCCACCACTCAACCAACTATATTCTACCACTCTACCACTATATTCCACCACTCTAACCACTATAGTCTACGACTCTACCAATATATTCCACCACTTCTTACCAATATAGTCTACTACCACTATATTCGACCGACACTACCACTATCTTCCACCACATCCACCATTAGTTCCACCACTCTACCACTATAAATCTACCACTCTAACCACATATTCCACCACTCCACCACTATATTCCACACTCTACCACTAATATATATTCCACCAATCTATACTACCACTATAATTCCCACCACTCTACCACTATATTCCATCACTCTATAACCACATAATATTCCAACACTCAACCACTATAATTCTACCACTCCACACACTATATTCCCACCACTCCACCACTATATTCCACCATCACTACACCACTAGATTCCCACCACTCTACCACTATATTCCCATCACTCTAATACCACTATATTCCACGCACTTCCACCACTAATTCCACCACTCTACCACTATATTCCCATCACTTTACCACTTATCTTCTACCACTCTACTCTATACCACTTATATTCTACTACTCTAGCCACTATATTCCACCCACTCTAACTACCACTAAATTTCCCACCACTCCAACCACGATATTCCACCACTCCGAATAACTAAACCACTATATTCTACCAATCTACCTCTATAAATCCACTAATCTACCACTATTTCCACCAATCAAACCACTAATATTCTACTCACTCTAACCACTAATTCCTTCACTCTACACTATATTCCACCACTCTACCACTAAAGTCTAACACTCTACCACTATATTCCACAACTCTACCACTAATTCTACAACTCTAACCACTATATTCCCACCACTCTACCACTATATTCTTCCACTCTAACCACTATATTCCATCACTCTCACACTATATTCTACCACTCTACCACTATATTCCACCACTCTATCCACTATATTCCACCACTCTACCACTATATTCTACTACTCTACACTATCTTCCACCACTCAGCCACTATCTTCTTACACTACTACCACTATATTCCACCACTCTACCACTATATTACGACGACCTCTACCACAATATTCCACCACTCTACCACTATAATCTAACCGACTATATTCTACCACGCTACCACTATATTCCACCACTCCACATTATATTCCACCACCACCACATATCTACCACTCTACCACTATATTCCACCACTCCACCACTATAAATCCACCACTCTACCACTATAATACCACCACTCTACAACCACTATAGTTCCACCACTCTACCACTATATTCCATCACTCTACCACTATATTCTTTCCCACCGACTCTAACCACTATAATTTCTACACTCCAACCACTATATGCCACCACTCCCACCACTATATTCCACCACTCCTAAACCACTATACTCCACCACTCAACCACTATATTCCATCACTCAAACCACTATATCCACACGCCACCACTATATTCCACCACTCTACCACATATTCCCCACTTTACCACTAATTCTACCACTCCTACCACTATATTCTACTACTCTCCACTATATTCCACCACACTAAATCTACTAACCACTAAGTCCACCACTCTAAAACCACTATATTCCACCACTCTACCACTATATTCTACCAATATACCTCTAGAATCCACTAATCCTACCACTATATTTCCACCACTCTACAACCACTAAGCCCTACACTCTACCTCTATATTCCATCACTCTATAAATACCACTATATTCCACCACACTAAAAACCACTATATTCTACACTCTACTAACCACTAAATGCCACCACTCTACTACTATATTCTAGCCACGCTAAACCCACTATAGTTCCCACACTCTAACCCAATATTCCGACGGGGGGGGGGGGCCCCCCCACCACTCAACCATTTCGATATCCATCACTCTACTATCTACCATAATTCTAACACTCTACCACTATAATCCACCACTCTAATACCACTATATTCCACCACCTATAACCAATATATTCTACTACTCTACCACTAATATTCCACCACTCTTCTACCACTAAATTATCTCCACTCTACAACCACGATATTCCACCACTCCACCACTATATTCCACCACTCTACACAAATATTCTACCACCTAACCACTAATTCCACCACTCTAACCACTAAATTCTACCACTCTAGCTACCACTAATTCCCCACCCCTCTAAAACCACAGATTCCTACCACACTACCACTATATTCCATCACTCTACCACGAAATTCCACCACTCTACCACTATATTCTACCACGCTACCACATATTCCTACCACTCTATACCCACTAATTCCACCACTCTAAAAACCACTATATTCTAACACTCTCTACCACTATATTATTCCACCACTCTAACCACTATGAATTCTACCACTCTACTACCACTATATTGTACACTCTAACCACTATATTCCACCACTCTAACCACTATATTCTACCACTCTACACTATATCCCCACTCTACCACTATATTCCACAATTCTATAAACCACTATACTACCACTCTAAACCACTATATTCCACACTCATAAAAACCACTATATTCTACCACTCTAAACACCACTAATACCACCACTCTAATACTACCACTATATTCTACTACTCAAAACCACTATATTTCCACCACTCTAATACCACTATATTCCTACCACTCTACCACTAATTCCACTCACTCCACCACTATTCCACCACTCCTAACCATACTATTATTCAACCACACCTAACCCACTAATTCCACCACTCTATCCTACCACTATATTCTACCACTCACTACCCACTATATTCCACCACTCTCCTACCACTATATTCTACCACTCTAACTACCACTATAACCATCACTCTAACTAACACCTCCTACTACACTATATTTCACCCCTCTAAATCCACCATTTTCTATATTCTACCACTCTACCACTATATTCTACCACGCTAACCACTATATTCACCACTCTAGACCACTATATTCTACCACGCTAAACCACTATATTCCACAACTTAACCACTAATATTCTACCACACTACCCTATATTGTACCACTCTACTACTACCACTTATATTCCCCACTCTAAACCACTATATTCTACCACTCTATCTACCACTTATATTTCCACCACTCAATACCACTATATATCCACAATTCTACCACTAATATTCTACACTCTAACCACTAGATTTCCACCACTCTACTACTAGATTCTACAAATCTAACCACTATATCCACCACCTCTAACCACTATATTTCAGCACTCACCATATAATATCTACCACTCCTACCACTATATTTCCACCACTCTACGAACCACTATATCCAACCACTCTAAACATCTAATTCTACACTCTAACCACTAATTCCACACTCTACTACTATCTTCTACCACTCCACCACTATATTCCACCACTCTATACCACTATAATTCCACACTCTATCTAACCACTATATATATTCCACACACTAACCCACGATATCTAATACCCACTCTACCACTATTTATTCCACGCACACTCTACCACTATATTCCTACCACTCTACTATCTAACCACTATATTCCTATCAAATAATCCTGACACCACTACACCCACTATATTCTAATTCATACCACTCTTGTTTATCTTCACTGACTCTACCACTACATATTACTTTCTAAAACCACTCCCACCAACCCACTAAATTCCACACGTGCTCACTCTACCACCATAAAAATTATATTTCCACCACTCCTAACTAAGCTCTAACCCCCGGAACCCGCCCACCCCCCAAATCTCCCCCCAACCTAGACTAAATTTCCATCACTCAATCCCCACTATATTCCACCCACCAATCTACCCTATAACGCACCAATCATTACCACTATATTCACCAATCTACCACTATACCCGCCCCACCCCCCCTACCACTACACACCCACTCTCATCCAGCACCTCTACCCTAAATATCTACCACTCTCTGCCACAATAGTTCCACCCCTCAAACCACAATAACCACCACTCTACCACTAATTCCCCACTCTACCACTCTACCCCACTCTAAACTCCTATAAAACCACTATATCCACAACTCTACCACTATCTTCCACCTCTCCACCACTATATTCCACCACTCAACCACTATATATCCATCACTCTACCCACTATATATTCACCTCAAATCTACCACGATATTGCCATCACTCTACCACGATATTCCCACCACTCAAAAAACCCACTAATATTCCATCACTCTAACCCACTAATATTCCACCACTCTACCACAATAAATCCACCACTCACCACTATATTTCCACCACTCTACCACTATATCCACCACTCACCACTATATCCACACACAAACCCCTATACTCCACCACTCTATACCACTATAATTCCACCACTCTAACCACGATAATCCCATCACTCTACCACTATAATTCCCGCCCACTCTACCACTATAAATCCAACCACTCTAGCTACCACTATATTCCACCACTCCACCACTATATTCCACCACTCTACCACTATATTCCACCACTCTACCACTATATTCCACCACTCTACCACTATATTCCACCACTCCACCACTATATTCCACCACTCTACCACTATATTCTACCACTCTACCACTATATTCCACCACTCCACCACTATATTCCACCACTCTACCACTATATTCCACCACTCTACCACTATATTCCACCACTCTACCACTATATTCCACCACTCTACCACTATATTCCACCACTCTACCACTATATTCCACCACTCTACCACTATATTCCACCACTCTACCACTATATTCCACCACTCTACAACCACTATATTCCACCACTCCACCACTATATTCCACCACTCTACCACTATATTCCACCACTCCACCACTATATTCCACCACTCTACCACTATATTCCACCACTCTACCACTATATTCCACCACTTCCACCACATAATTCCACACACTCTAACCACTATATTCCACCACTCCACCACTATATTCCACCACTCTACCACTATATTCCACCACTCTACCACTATATTCCACCACTCTACCACTATATTCCACCACTCCACCACTATATTCCACCACTCTACCACTATATTCCACCACTCCACCACTATATTCCACCACCTCTACACTATATTCCACCACTCTACCACATATTCCTACACACTCTACTCCACTATATTCCAACACTCTACCACTATATTCCACACACTCCACCACTATATTCCACCACTCCACCACTATATTCCACCACTCCACCACTATATTCCACCACTCTACCACTATATTCCACCACTCTACCACTATATTCCACCACTCTACCACTATATTCCAGTGAAAATCACAGTGTGCCCTTTCAGCACCCCTATAGTAATCAATTATCAGTTGTGCCTTTTCTTTTCACCGTCAGTAACGTCCAGAAACCTTTCTTCCTAATTCATCGTATTTTTATGCTATTATATATACGTTTCACTGCCGCTTTCTTGTCAATTTTTTTTATATATATCTTTACTTTCTTATTTCTTTGACTGAAGATAAGAAAAAGATAATCGTTCTTTTGGGAGCTTACTACGACTTTTCGCTCCGTCTCGGAGGGACCGAGACGTTGCTGCAAGGTTTCTCTCCCCAGGTGTGGGTCTTAATGGTGACTTGTTCCAGCCAATCTCTTTCTCTCTCTCTCATTCTCTCTCTCTCTCTCATTCTCTTTTTCTCTCTCTCATTCTCTCTCTCTCTCTCTCTCTCTCTCTCTCTCTCTCTCTCTCTCTCTCTCTCTCTCCCTCTCTCTCTTTCTCTCTCTCTTCTCTCTCTCTCTCTCTCTCTCTCTCTCTCTCTCTCTCTCTCTCTCTCTCTTTCTCTCTCCCTCTCCATCCACTAGTATTTATCCTGTCATTAATTTTTCATCACATATTGTATGACACATGTGTCTTCTGATTCACATATGTTTGTCATTGATTCGCATGTGTCTTCACACCGACTCACATGTTTGTCACTGAAATTCACACATTGTCGACTAACACTCACATATATATATATGTGACTAAGGCACATATATGATTAAAGCTCACATACTTACGTCTAAAAGTCAAATAGTTTTGATTAAGACTCACATATTTGTGTCTAAATGTCACATATTAATGTCTAAAACTCACATATGTATGTCTAAGGCTTACATATTTATGTCTAAGACTCATATATTTATGTCTAAGACTCATATATTTATGTCTAAGACTCATATATTTATGTCTAAGACTCATATATTTATGTCTAAGACTCATATATTTATGTCTAAGACTCATATATTTATGTCTAAGACTCATATATTTATGTCTAAGACCCATATATTTATGTCTAAGACTCATATATTTATGTCTAAGACTCATATATTTATGTCTAAGACTCATATATTTATGTCTAAGACTCATATATTTATGTCTAAGACTCATATATTTATGTCTAAGACTCATATATTTATGTCTAAGACTCACATATTTATGTCTAAGACTCATATATTAATGTCTAAGACTCACATATTTATGTCTAAGACTCATATATTAATGTCTAAGACTCATATATTTATGTCTAAGACTCATATATTAATGTCTAAGACTCATATATTTATGTCTAAGACTCATATATTAATGTCTAAGACTCATATATTTATGTCTAAGACTCATATTTAATGTCTAAGACTCATATATTTATGTCAAAGACTCATATAATTAATGTCTAAGACTCATATATTTATGTCTAAGACTCATATTTTTTATGTCTAAGACTCACATATTTATGTCTAAGATCATATATTAATGTCTAAGACTCATTATTTGTCTAAGACTCATATATTAATGTCTAAGACTCATATATTTATGTCTAAGACTCATATATTTATGTCTAAGACTCATTATTTATGTCTAAGACTCATATATTTATTGGTTTATGTTTTTTTTAAAAAAATTTTTAAAAATTTTAAATTGCGAAAAAATTATATTTTGGACAAGGCCTTTGATTTAAAAACTATAGTAAAAAAAAATTTTTGGGTTAAAAATAATTTTTGGGAAAAAGGTAATTTAATTTTAAAATAAATTGTTGTTAAGTTAATATTTATTTAAAGATAAAAATTTTTTAAGATATTTTTTTATTTTAAAAAAATTTTTTTTTTTTAAAAGATAATATTTAATTTAAGATATATTTTTGGGTAAAAAAATTTTTTGATTAAAATTTTTTAAAAAAATTTTTTAAATTAAATATTTTTTTTAAAATTTTAATTTTTTAAAAAATATTTTTTTTAAAAATTTTATTTTAAAAAATATTTTTTAAATTTTTTTTTTAAAAAAATTTTTTTTTAAGTAAAAATTGAAAAAAAATTTTTCTTGATATAATTAGGGGAAAAAAAATTTTTTTAAATTTTAATTAATTTTGATATAAAATGTTAAAATAAAAAGTAAGAAATTTTTGTTAAACCTTTTTTTTAAAACCCAAATATTTTTTTTTAAAGGGGAAAATTAAGTTAGGATATTTTTTTAATTTTGATTTTTTTTTATTTTTAAATAATTTTTTTATTTTAAAATAATAAAATTGAAAAATTTTTTAAAATTAAAAAAAATTTAAATTTTTTGAAATATTTTTTAAAAAATTTTTTGCTAAGATAATTTTTTGTTAAAATTTATTTTTTAAATAATATTTTGTTAAAATTTTTTTTATGTTTAAATTTTTTTTTTTTAAAAGATTTTTAAATTCTAAGTTTTTTTTGTTAAGTATTTTTAATTTAAAAATCTATTTTAATTTAAGATTTTTAATGTTAAGAAAATTTTAAAAGGATTAAAATAATGTTTAAAAAATTTTTTTTAGGGGATAAAAAACCCTAGTAATTTTTTTTGGGGCCCAAAAATAAGTTTGACAAATTTTTTGCATTGTTTTTAGTTTTATCGCATTATTTATAAATAATTTTTTATTTTTTTTTTTTTTTTGCCCATTAAAAAAAATTTTTTTTAGGGAATCGGATTTTTCTTTGAATAATTTTTTTTGTGTTTTTTTGGGGAATTTGGAAATTTTTTTGGTTTTTTTTGGAAAACTATTTTTTTAAAAAAAATTTTGTTAATAATAATTTTTTTTTTTTTTCTACCCCATATATATATAAATCATATATTTTTTTCTTCTTTTTTTTTTCCTTTTTTTTTCCTTTTTTTTTTTGTTCCCCCTTTTCTTTTTTTTTTTCCCTTTTTTTCTTCTTTTTTCCTTTTTTTCTTTTTCCTTTTTTTTTTTTTTTTTTTTTTTTTCCTTCTTTTCTTTTTTTTCTTTTTTTTTTTTCCTTTTTTTCTTTTTCTTCTTTTTTTTTTTTTCTTTTTTCCTCGTTTCATTTTCTTTCCCCTCTTCCTTCTTCCCTTTTCCTTTCCCGCTTTTCTCCTTTTTCTCCTTTCTTCTTTTTCCTTTTCCCTTCCCTTTTCCCTCTTTTCACTTCCTTCTCCTTCTTCCTTTCTTCCCTCTTCCTTCTTCCCTTCTTATTCATTCTCCCTTTCTTACATTTCTTCTTCCCCTTTTCCTTCCCTTCTTTTTCCTTACACTTCTTCCCCTCCCTCTTCTTTTCCCCTTCTTCTTTCCCTTCTCCCTTCGTCTTCTCTTCATACTTTTCCCTCCTCTTCTTTTCTTCTTCTTCTTTTTCTTCCTTTTTCTTTTTCCTTCTCTTTCTTTCTTCTTCTTCCCTTTCTTCCTTCTCTTTTCCTTCTCTCTATTTCCCCTTCCTTTTCCCCCTTTTTCTTTTTCTCCTCCTTCTTCTTCTTCTCTTCTCCTCTATTTCTCTTCTCTTTTTTCTCTCTCTCTTCTTCTTCCCCTTCCTTTTCTCATTTTCTTTTCTCTCCTCTTTTTCCTATTTTTTTCCCTCATTCTTTTTCTTCACTTCTTTTTCCTTTTCTTCTTTTCCTTTTTTTCCCATTCTCCATTCTTCACTTTTCCTTTTTCCTTTTCTCCTTGTCCCTTTCCTTTTCCTTTTCTTCTTCTTGTCTTCTTCCTTCCCCTTTCTTCTTCCTCATTTTTCTTATTATCTTCTTCTTTTTATTTCTCTTCCTTTCTTCTCCTTTTTCCATTCTTCTTCCCTTCTTCTTTCTTTTTCTTTTACTTCTTCTTCTTCTTCTTCTCTTCGTCTTCTTCTTTTCGTCTAATCTTCTTGTCTCGCCTTTTGTAGTCCCTTCTTTCTTCTTCTTCTCTTCTTTTTCTTCTTCTTTTTTCTTTTCCTCTACTTTTTTTCGTTTAAATCTCTTCTTTTTTCTTTCCTTCTTCTTTCTTTTCTTATTTCTTTTTTTTCTTCACTTCTTCTTTTCTTCCCCTTTTTCGTCTTATTTTTCTTATCTTCCTTTCTCCTTCTTCTTCCTCTTCTTCTGCATTTTAGTTCTCTTTTCTTCTTTTTTCTTCTTCTTCTTCTTCCTCTTTCTTTTCTTCTTTTCTTTTTTTCTTTCGCTTTCTTATTTTCTTCTTTTTTTTTCTTCCTTTCTCTTCTTCTTATTTATTTTTTTGTCTCCTTCTTTTTCCTTCTTCTCTTTTCTTCCTATTTTTCTCTTGCACTAACTCTATTCATTAATCTACATTTACTAATCAATCTTCTTCTCTTTTCCATTTTTCTAATTCTTCATTTCTATTCATCTTCTATATTCTTCTTCATCTTCTTCATCTACTCTTCTATTTCTTCTTCTTTTCATTTTCTTCTAATCTCTTCTTCTTCTTTTCTTTTCTACTCTTCTTCTTCTCTCTTCTTTGTCTTCTTCTTCTTCTTCTATCTTTTTTGTGTCTCTCTTTTTCTCTTTTTCTCTTCTTTTTCTTTTAAACTCTTTTTTCTTCTCTTCTTCCTTTTATTTTCGTTCTCTATCTTTGCTCTTTTTTCGTCTTTTCTCGTTCTTCTTGCTTCGTTCTTCTTCTTTGTCTTCTCCTTCTTTCTTCTTTCTTCTTCTTCTTCTCTCTCTTCTTCTTTCTTCTTCTTCTTCTGCCTTATTTATACTCTTTTTCTTTTTTCGTCCTTCTTCTTCTTCTTTCTTCTTCTTGCTCCTTTTCTTCTTCTTCTTTTCTGTCTTCTTCTTTCTTCTTTTCTTTCTTCTTCTTCTATCATCTCTTCTTCTTCTTCTCTTCTTCTCTCTCTCTCTTCTTCTTCATCTCTCCTTCTTCATCTTCTTCTTCTTCTTCCTTCTTCTTTCTTCTTCTTCTTCTTCTTCTTCTTCTTCTTCTCTTTCTTCTTCTTCTTCTTCTTCTTCGTCTCTTCTTCTTCTTCTCTTCTTCTTCTTCTTCTTCTTCTTCTTCTTCTTCTTCTTCTTCTTCTTCTTCTCTTCTTCTTCTTCTTCTCTCTTCTTCTTCTCTTCTTCGTTCTTCTTCTTCTTCTTCTTCTTCTCTTCTTCTTCTCTTCTTCTCTTCTTCTTCTTCTTCTCTTCTTCTCTTCTTCTTCTTTCTTCTTCTTTTCTTCTTCTTTCTTCTTCTTCTTCTTCTTCTTTCTTCTTCTTCTTCTCTTCTTCTCTTCTTTCTTCGTCTTCTTTTCTTCTTCTTCTTCTTCTTCGCTTTCTTCTTCTTTCTTCTCTTCTTCTTCTTCTTCTCTCGTCTTCTCTTCTCTTCTTCTTCTTCTTCTTCTTCTTCTTCTTCTTCTTCTTCTTCTTCTTCTTCTCTTTCTTCTTCTTCTTCGTCTTCTTCTTCTTTCGTCTTCTTACTTCTTCTTCGTCTTCCTTCTTCTTCTTCTTCTTCCTCTCTTCTTCTTCTTCTTCTTCTTCTTCTTTTCTTCTTCTTTCTCTTCGTTCCTTTTCTTCTTCTTCGTCTTCTTCTTCGTCTTTCTTCTTCTTCTTCTTCTCTCTTCTTCTTCTTCTTCTTCTTCGTCTTCTTCTTCTTCTTTCGTCTTCTCTTCTTCGTCTCGTCTTCTTCGTCTTCTTCCTTCTTCTCTTCTTCTTCTTCGTCTCGTCTTCTTCTCTTCTTCTCTTCTTCTTCTTCGTCTTCTTCTTCTTTCTTCGTCTTCTTCTTCTTCGTTTCGTCTTCTTCTTCTTCTTCTCTTCTTCCTTCTTCTTCTTCGTTCCTTCTTCTCTTCTTCTTCTCTGTCTTCTTCTTCTTCTCTTCGTCTTCTCTTCTTCGTCTTCTTCTTCTTCTTCGTCTTCTTCTTCTTCTTCTTCTTCGTCTTCGCTTCTCCTTCGTCTTCTTCTTCTTCTTCTTCTTCTTCTTTCTTCTTCTTCTTCTTCTTCTTCTGTCTTCCTCTTCTTCTTCTTCTCTTCTTCTTCTTCTTCTCTTCTTCTCTTTCTTCGTCTTCTTCTTCTTTCGTCTTCTCTTCTTCGTCTGTCTTCTTCTTTTCTTCGTCTTCTTCTTCTTCTTCTTCTTCGTTCTTCTTCTTCTTATTCTTCTTCTTCTTCTCTTCCTTTCTTCTCTCGTCTTCTCTCTTCTTCTTCGTCTTCTTCGTCTCTTCTTCTCGTCTTCGCTTCTTCTTCTTCGTCTTCTTCTTCTTCTTCTCTTCTTCGTCTTCTTCTTCTTCTTCTTCTTCTTCTTCTTCTTCTTCTTCTTCTTCTTCTTCTTCTTCTTCGTCTTCTTCTTCTTCGTCTTCTTCTTCTTCTTCTTCTTCGTCTTCGTCTTCATAGTGAAAATTCATTGAAAATATTAAATTATATTTAGGTAACACTATTTTTCTAATTTAATTTTTACTATAAATAAGAAACGCAACAAATAAGGATAACAGAATAATGAATGTGAAGATCGTAATGAAGAGAATGATAAGTATTAAGGTGGAGATAACACTAATGGCATCAGTGGTGGTGATGAATAATGATGACGATCATCGTCGTCAGTCATTATTACCTTGAATGTGCTGATAGTGTCCATGACGATGATGAAGATGAAAGTGGCGACAAAGATGACAGCAAGAGTGTATGCCATTACCTTCATTAAAATGAATGACGGTAGAATGATTATTGATGACTCAATAACGTCAGGCAGTACGCTGACGCAAGGGTGAAATATTCCTCTAAGTGCGTCAGGCAGTACGCTGACGCAATGGTGAAATAGTCCCTAAGTGCGTCAGGTAGAACGTTGACGTAAGGGTGAAATATTCCTCCAACTGCGTAAGGCAGTAGAGGGATCGGTACGGCGTAAGCTGTCCACGGCCCCTATAAACCATCAACATCAACAACAACACCACGAAGAAGCAGCGAGACGGAATGCTGACCTTTAGTTGAAAATATTTGGGTTCTTGTTGAATCTGGACAAAATCGTGATAAAATTTTTAGACACGTGACAGCCCTTGGTTGAGCAACGCAATGACTGCTTGTCATTCTGTCCGAGATGGTCAGAATGATACATGGCAAACTGGACGGAATAAGGGCTGACCAAAGAGTGAAAGTTCCGAAATATCGGAAAATGCTAAAGTGGTGTTCGGTCCAGGGTTCACGGTATCGTGATGTCCGGTCCAGGGTTCATTGTATCGTGCTTCAGGGGAGGTAGTATACGAGTGAGTGATAGTGGTGGTGGTGGTAGTGGTAGTTGTGGAACTGGTGGTAATCGTAGTGGCTGTGGTTGTGGTATGGTCACAGATGACGCTGCGGCACGACTACGATTACCGTGAAAAAAATGGATGTAACACCATCCTGCGTCTTCATGACACGAAAAGACAGACAGACAGACACACACACACACACACACACACACACACACACACACACACACACACACACACACACACACACACACACACACACACACAGGGAGCAGAGAGAGAGAGGACCTAGTGGCGATCAGTGAAGAGGTGGGTCCAGGAGCTGAGTATCAACCCCTGCAACCACAATTAGGTGAGTACAGTTAGGTGAACACACACACACACATACATATACACACACATTGACAAGGTGGACAAAGACAGGATGTTCCAGAGATGGGACACAGCAACAAGGGGACACAGTTGGAAGCTGAAGACACAGATGAATCATATGGATGCTAGGAAGCATTTCTTCAGCCACAGAGTAGTCAGAAAGTGGAATAGTTTGGGAAGGGATGTAGTGGAGGCAGGATCCATACACAGCTTTAAACAGAGGTATGATAAAGCTCACGGTTCAGGGAGAATGAACTAGTAGCGACCAGTGAAGAGGCGGGGCCAGGAGCTAGGACTCGACCCGTGCAACCTCAACTAGGTGAGTACAACTAGGTTAGAACACACACACACACACACACACACACACACACACACACACACACACACACACACAAGTGTTGGATGACATACGAACAACCGAGGAGGAGGTGCAGAAGCTGCTAAGTGACCTTGATATCTCAAAGGCGATGGGACCGGACAACATTCCCCGTGGGTCCTTAGAGAAGGAGCAGAGATGCTGTGCGTGTCCCTAACCACGATCTTCAACACATCCCTTGAAACTGGGCAACTACCTGAGATATGGAAGACGGCAAATGTAGTCCCCATATTTAAGAAAGGAGACAGAAACGAGGCACTAAAATACAGACCTGTGTCTCTGACATGTATAGTATGCAAAGTCATGGAGAAGATTATCAGGAGGAGAGTGGTGGAACACCTGGAACGGAACAAGATTATGAATGAAAACCAGCATGGGTTCATGGAAGTCAAATCCTGTGTCACAAACCTTCTGGAGTTTTATGACAAGGTAACAGAAGTAAGACACGAGAGAGAGAGGTGGGATGATTGCATTTTCCTGGACTGCAGGAAGGCCTTTGACACAGTTCCTCACAAGAGATTAGTGCAGAAGCTGGAGGATCAGGCGCATGTAACAGGGAGGGCACTGCAATGGATCAGGGAATACCTGACAGGGAAGCAACAACGAGTCATGGTACGTGAAGAGGTATCACAATGGGCGCCTGTGACGAGCGGGGTCCCACAGGGGTCAGTTCTAGGACCAGTCCTATTTTAGACTCTGAAGTGTCCCTATTCGCAGATGATGTGAAGCTGATGAGAAGAATTAAATCGGATGAGGATGAGGCAGTACTGCAAAGAGACCTGGACAGGCTGGACACGTGGTCCAGAAACTGACTTCTCGAATTCAACCCTGCCAAATGCAAAGTCATGAAGATTGGGGAGGGGCAAAGAAGACCGCAGACAGAGTATAGGCTAGGTGGACAAAGACTACAGACCTCACTCAGGGAGAAAGATCTTGGCGTGACCATAACACCGAGCACATCACCGGAGGCACACATCAACCAAATAACCGCTGCAGCATACGGGCGCCTGGCAAACCTGAGAATAGCGTTCCGATACCTTAATAAGGGATCGTTCAAGACACTGTACACTGTGTATGTCAGGCCCATACTGGAGTATGCAGCACCAGTCTGGAACCCACACCTGGTCAAGCACGTCAATAAGTTAGAGAAAGTACAAAGGTTTGCAACAAGGCTAGTTCCAGAGCTCAGGGGAATGTCGTACGAGGAAAGGTTGAGGGAAATCGGACTGACGACACTAGAGGACAGAAGGGTCAGGGGAGACATGATAACGACATACAAGATACTGCGGGGAATAGACAAGGTGAACAGAGACAGGATGTTCCACAGAGGGGACACAGAAACAAGAGGTCACAATTGGAAGCTGAAGACTCAGACGAGTCACAGGGACGTTAGGAAGTATTTCTTCAGACATAGAGTCGTCAGGAAGTGGAATAGCCTAGCAAGTGAAGTAGTGGAGGCAGGAACCATACATAGTTTTAAGAAGAGGTAAGACAAAGCTCAGGAAGCAGAGAGGGAGAGGGCCTAGTAGCGATCAGTGAAGAGGCGGGGCCAGGAGCTGAGTCTCGACCCCTGCAACCACAATTAGGTGAGTACAATTAGGGAGTACACACATACACACACACACACACCACTTCCACTGAAAACCCTCAATATCTCACAGACAGAGAGACATGCAGACAGGCAAGACAGGAAGGCAGACAGTAAGACAAGGGCCACACGGTTACAGAGACAGGTTCCTCTTGGATAAGTACGACTCACGTGCACTTATGGCGTGCAGAAGAGGGTGTCCGGAGGGATGACTTGGCGTCCTCTTGATCTATGTCAAGGTCCTCTTCCTCCCACCCCTCCTCCACCTGCTTCGCACCACGGAGGAGGAGGAGGAGGAGCAGCAGGAGGAGGAGGAGGAGCAGCAGCAGCAGGAGGAGGAGCAGCAGCAGAAGGAGGAGGAGGAGCAGCAGCAGCAGCAGGAGGAGAAGCAGAAAGGAGAGGAATGGGAGTAGGTGAAGAAGGAGTAGAAAGAGGAGAACGGGGGGGGGATATGTAGGAGTAGGAGAAAGAGGATGGAAAGTAGGAGGAGCTGGATGAATAAGAAAATAATCAGTAGGAGGAGGAAGAATAGGAGAAGAAGCGAGAGGAACAACAGCAGGATCAAGATGAGAGAAAAAAAAGCAGGGGCAGCAGGATAAGGAACAGGATTGAAAAAAGGAAGTGGATGAGGAGAAAGAGTAAGAGTAAGAGGAAGAGGAGGAAGAGGAAGATGAAGAAAAAGAGTACGAAGAAGAGGAAGAGAAGGAAAAAGAAGAAGAAGAGTGAACGCATCAAAAAGATAATAATAAGAAAACAGATAGCGGCTAAGTGTTTTGACCGGCCATAAATTCAATTAGTTACAAGGTTTTTCCACATATGTATTTGCTTAAGGTGTTCTCCCACGAAGACTCGCAGAGACCTGGCCACTCACTCGTCTGACCTCGAGCCAGTTTCTTGTACCTGTGTACATGTTACACAGGTGTTGCACGAGTGCAAATGTTGCAGTTGCTACGAGTGCTGGCGAAGCAGAGACACAGCCCACAGGGACAGACCCAAAAACCACTGATTATGGGAGACTACCCACAGATAGCTTGATTTGTTTATACAAGCTTATACAAGTGAAGTTGTTGAGAGTTTCTTGTGTCTACACGCCAGCCAGACACACGACAACAATGAGAGGGAAGAGACGAGCAGGCGTGTCTAGACGCGGTCTTTACTTTAGATACCACTGGTTTATGAGAAATCGAGTCGCCCCTTCCCCTTTTCTCTCCCCTCCACTGAGTGCGGGATCACACATCTTTGAACCTTCACTACCTGGTGAATAACAACCTGGAAAGTAGACTACAGTGTGGACTGTGTGCAAAGGAGAATTTCCTACATCTTCAAGGATATTAGGAACTGTAAGGGAAGACAAATGAGAAGATGATGACTTGCTTACCAGGGCAATATGTGGAAGGTGGGAAGAAATTTATATCTGGGAGGGGAAGCAGAAGAAAGGTTGAAAAAAGAGCCCATGTGAGGACAAGAAACAACCGAATGTGGAAAAGATACAGAAAACGGAGGACAGAAGACAACATAAAAAACAAGCATGTGAACCATAAATATATAGGTGAGGAAGAGAAGAATGCAGCACAACAAGAAGAGAATGCCAAGGTGGTAAAAGCCACAAAAGACCGAAGATGGAAAAAAAAGATGGAATGATTAGCAATAAAATCTGAAGAAGGTGAGTTAACGACGAGAAATAGAATGTGAGGAACTCTAGACTGAGGCAAAGTTACTGACAATCTGAAATAAACTAGCACTGGGGACGCCCCAGTTCACAGAGAAGTGGTGATGGAGAACTTGTCAACAAACCAAGACCGGGACCAGAATGAGAGAAAAGAACAAACTAGCCAAACTGAACCTCTTCGTGTCTTCTTAAACGCGTCTGACGTAGGTTTTCAAAACTATCACAAGTATGCTACAGGAGACCATCAGCGCTAAATGCTTATGGGTTTAGCGTTTACTTATGATTATAATAATATAGGAGACAATTAAATACTAACGAATCACGTAATCCTGAGATGCAAATACCTTGTGGAAGTAAACATAAGAGATAAACACTGGAGGGAAGAGGAAAGGCAAAGATGAAAGAATTCTTGAAAGCAATACAGACGAAAAAAATAAAA